CAAGTCCCCTAGCCAGCTAGCCCTCAGATAGCTAGCTTGCCTCCTGTTTTTCCAAGGGAGGGGGGGTGAGGAAGAGCCCTTTTAAAGCCAAAGGCTCCAGGCCACGCTCCTCTGGCTGCTGGTCAACTGTTAGTCTCTCAGCTTCAGATGTTAAAGAAGGGGGAGTTAAAGATATCATAAATATAAATATAAATAACATAAAATATTTATGTTAAAGATATCATAAAATAACCAATAAATGCACTAATTTAATAATACAAAAAACATAATTAGAATCTAAGTAGCATTAATATACAATGCCATAGCAAAAATTTAAAGTCATAACTTCTAGTTAGAACACTAAAATATATTCTGGCACAAACCAATGTATGAAAAGAAACAAACATGTTTTGATTCTATTCCTCAATGGCACAATATCTGTTTTGCTGTAAAAAATGATAGCTAAATAAAAATATTAAGCATCCACCCTATGGGACACACAAACAGCTCAACTGTGTCTAAATGCATTTAGTCACAGATTTCAAAAAATGACACAATTCTTTTCATAGGTTTTTTTGGTACATATTTGTCTCTTATTATAATTATAATTGGATTATAGAATTTTGTGGTTTTGCTACAACACTGAAATTTGGATTTTAGTAGAGTTTTTTTTCCTTATTATTAAAATTCTTTTCCAATTTTCTTGAATTACAATTTAATTTGCCTATCTGTTGCATCCACATTTTATGTGCCAATTGTTCTGTGCTGGGATTTATTTCTCTTTCTCTTTCTCTTTCTCTTTCTCTCTGCTCTGGCTTCTATTTCTCCCACATTTGCCTTTTTAAAATATCAAGGCTTTCCATCCTGAATATGAAAAAAAATATGAATTCTGATTTATATATTTTTTTAAAAAATTCCAAACCAAACTGAAATGAATTTGTCACTCATCTGGACTGTTCAAGTTCAGTAGATATGGCTATTGCCATTACACAAAGGACTCAGTTTTACTTATGTTTACTTTAAAAGGTAAAAGATGTCTGTCAGCAAAAGGAAGCCATAATTCAACATCACAAACATTGCTGCATTCATGGGAGCATTTAATATCAAAGTACTCAAAGACCTCTGCTTGGATGGGTGATCTTCTCAGGGGCTGTCCACACAGGCCAAAAGTCTCATGTCCCCCCCCCAGCCTCATCATCCTGATGCAGGACAATACCTCTGACCTGGGACTGGACAGACTGGACATTGATCTGGCAGTCCCAGTATGGTCCTGGTGCAAAGGGCTCTTGTTGTTG